CTTTGCCGCTGTTTATCTCGTACGGACGGACGGAGCGACCGACCGGGCAGACAAAGAAATGCATAAATTATTTCTCACAGGCATTTTAAAGCGGCTGTTAGGCGAGTTGGCCGACTGCCGACTGCCGATGGCCGATGGCCGTTGGCCGATTCCCGATGCAGCAGCAGCCGCCTCTGCCTACTTACTGGCCATTTAGAAAGCCTTCGGCTTCGCCTGCGCTGTGGCCGTGTCCACGCTTTTGTCCATATTTGTACACAATTAGCAATGACACAAAAAAAAAAAACGACCAAGAGGAAAAGAATCGCAGCAGCAGCGGCAGCGACAGCAGCAGCAGCAGCAGCAGAGTAGGCACAAAAAATGCAAAAGTAAAGGAAACAAACTTCACACACCATAAATCGATTATCATTGCACACAGATACACACATACACATCCATACACAGACACACACACACACACACATGGGCATTAAATCAAATTGCGCATTTTACGCCTCGTCTCTGGCTTGTGCATAAATTTATTTATCGGCTTGTCCATCGACACTGGCTGCCGTCGCCTTATCGCACACGCATCCACGCCATCGACACACATATCCCCTCACATCCCATCCTCATCATCATCATGATCATCGTGATCGTCATCGACATGGACATCGACAACGACAGCGACACGGACATTGCGTATACGCCGTGTGCCCATGCCCGCGATCTGTTTCTGTGTCTGTTTGTCTCTGTCTCTGTCTCTGTCTGTGCATGCATAAAATGTATAACAAAATTGTCATTAGCGTAAAGCATTTGTTAAGCACTCACAGATCAAGCGATAAGTCAGTGAGGAGCAGTTGGGGGGTACGACACCAGAGCAGAGTCAGAGTCAGAGCCAGAGCCAAGAGCTTCCCTCTTCCTCGCTGGGGGGACAGTGCCCCAATGCTGACTGACCAACCAACCAACCAACCATCCATCCATCCATCCATCCATCAACGCCATCGTCTTTAGCTGGGAGAGAACACGCGCTGACAATCAATGGCGACAAGCGAAGCTGCCTGAAACGAGTCCGGTTGGGCGATGTGGATGAGGTGCGATGCAATGAGGTGCGGCGATGTGTGGTGCTGATGTGGAGGCATGGTTTGGTCCGGGTCCAACTATTTCACACCTTCGCCTTCGCATTCGCATGGCTCTTGTTCGGCCTGGCCAGGGTCTGTCTAGTGATCCAGCTCTTTGGATCTTTGGCTTTTTTTTGGCTCAGACGACCACGATAATGGCAGCGGCATCCGAGACCAACTCATGGTGTAAAATGCCTGCATGATTGGCATTGCTTGCTGTATCTTCGCTCGCTGTGTGTCTCTGTGTCCATGTCCGTGGCTCGTCGCCATCGTCAGCTTATTGACAATGCGTCAGGCGTTTGCTCCGCTGGCGGTGGTCAGCTTTGATGACTCCAGATACAGCCAGAGAGCTGCAAACTGATGCTGACGCTGAAGCTGTAGCTGAAGCCTGAAGTTTGAAGTCTCAAGTCTACAGCTGCATTGGTCTAAAAACTAGTTGCGTTGACATACCAATTAACTTGACAAATACATAATTGGTAGTAAAAACAATTAAATGTTGCACTTTTTTGTTGTTGTCTTGAGCTGGCTACCGCCTTTTGATCAAGAACTCCATCCGTGGCATGCCCCCAAACACACGACACACGACACACGACTCTGATCGCCCATTTCGCTGTCAGCTTATGAGTCTCAGAAATTCATTTAAATTTATCTAGTTGTCAGCGTTTTTCTGCCAGGCTCTAAGATATTTACACAATTTGCTCATAAAAAACAAATCAACAAACGAAACAAAAAGACTACACACACAAGTACAGTGGGTGCGAAGGAGACAGCGACAGGGAGCGAGAGAGAGAGAGAGAGAGAGATGAGGTGGGAGCGGGCACAAACGGCAGCCACTAACGAAGCGCCGCCAACGTCTTGGCGATGCTGTTTGCTGATTTTTGTTGTGGGCAGCCCTCGCTGCCGAAACGATACCCTAAGGTTTGTTGGGGCATACGGGAAATATTGGGTATTAAAGAAAAGAAGTTCCACATTAGAGAGATTTTTACTTGGCTTTAGCAGTTCTTCTATCAACTTCCCAATGCTGCCTCCAAAGTGCTGCCCAAAGGGCATTTAATCTTCGCCATATCCAGCTCCAAATTATTTCTCCCAGTGCCTTCTTTTTTTTTTTTTGTTTTTTTGGCTCTGTGCCTCTCTTTGGCAGGTGCAGTTTGCATTTGCCGCTGCTGCTGCTGCTGCTGTTGTTGCTCATTAGCTTTTTTCTCGCTGCTGCCACAAAGTCTACGTCTGTTACCATTTTGGGCTCTCTGGGAATCAGGCGCTGGATTAGCCAGGCAAACGGGCAGCAGGCCACAGGCAGGTAATGTAAGGTAAGGCAAGGCAAAGTACGGTAAGGCCTGGCATGGCAGCCGCCAAAAGGAAAATCCAAATGCCTTTGCCTTTGCCTTTGCCGTGCTGTGCTCTGCTCTGCTCTGTGTGTGCAGTGTTCAGTGTGGGAAAACTTTTATTTCAAGGTTCAAAAGACGCCCGCAGAGTGTGAAAAATGGCTAAAAACAAAATGCTGTAGCTGTAGCTGTGGCTGTGGCTGTAACTTTAGCTGTGCAATTGCAGAGGGTATATAAATGGGGGATTTTCGTATAACTAGCGGCGACTGCCCCCACGGCGTATGCGCAATGCCATAAATTCAATGTGACTCGCGGTGGTGGCCCAAAACCGATTCAATCCGTTGCGGTCAAAGCCTCAAACTTGGTCAAATGATGTGGCGGTGGCAACAC